CAGCTTTTTGGGATGAGTCTGCATACTAAAGAAGGAGTATCCAAACTGGCCTTTCAAAGCCTGGCATGAGGAGTGTTGTTGGATGTAAGCATATTACAGACCTACAAGATCCATCCACTGTGTAGAGGCTTCTGTTTTTGTAGCCACCCCAGAAGGCTTGATTTTAGCCATATGACCTGCTTGTCATGAGCTTTGCTTTAAAAAACAAAACAAAACAAAACAAAAAACACCTGGGGAGGTGAGCTAAGTGTGTCACAAACTGCATCACAGGTTGGGACTGGACCTATCACCCCTTAAAGGGTCAGCCACCAAGTGACAGGGATGAGGTTCTTTGCTGCAGATTTATGGCTTGGATTCAGGTTGGATAGTGGTAGATTTTGTCTCCCTACCTCCCCCACATTACACTGGGGAACTGAATTTCACCCTCACTGCAATAAAATCATTTCTTCAGACAAAAAGTGTCAAACAGAATAGGTAAACAGCATTATAACAAACTCTGTTAAATCAGCAGTGAACAGACAAAATGCATCACCAGTTCTACGTAGGCACACCACAATAAAATTGTGCTTACCTATATATCTTGAAGAGTCATTAGAAATTTACCCTTCAGATAGTTAAGTAATCATAATTATTTTTAAATCGCAGTTAACTAAGAGATTTTATATTAAATGTTACAATTAACCACTGCTTAACATTAATACTTATATTAGATAATAGCTAATTGGCTGAAAGAGAAAGTGATATCTTGACATAGCAAATGTTTCAGAATCTTAAAGAGGGAGGCTCCACTCCCTCGAGAAAGAAAAGGAGATATTAAATGCAATCAGTTTTGGGGGAGTTCCCAAAGACAAATAAAAACAAACTAAGAAAATACTAAACTCTTTGGTAAGGATTTTTAATAAACCAAAAAACTGAAAATCCATAAAACTGACAATAGCCTATTCATTAAATCCCTTGAATAAATAAGAGCTTAATATAAAAAACATTTTGATAGCAACAGCTGATAAAAGTATTAGAAAACAGTTTTATCACAGCCGGTCTCATACTATCAATCAAAAGTCTTGCATACAAAAATACGTTCTTCTTTAGAACAAAAATGTCTAATTGTAGATTTCCATTTTGTTTGACTGGGCAAGTTTTTCGCTCATTGTTTATATAAACAACCTCTCTTCAAATCCACATAAATCCTGAGTAAAGAGAAAGATTTAGACAGACAGCATATTAGCATTGTCTCTAGCTGTTCTTAGTCTTTCATCCAAAGAACCACTAAAACCTATACAGATGTTTTCTTTTCAGTGTTGAACTCCCCACTACTCTGTTATTTTTTGTAAAAGATACAATATTATGTCCAGCATTTTGTAATCCTCTCTCTTTGATTGGAGTGTATCACAAATGAGTAAAGCCAATGTAGCGAAGAGGACTTTCATACATAAAGATTCTGAAAATATTTGTTAACATAATGATTTGTTTATTCAGTTTGACAAATGCTTTTATTTTAACCTGAAGTATATTTTGTAAATGTCACTGGTAAATACAAATTTATAGTTGGCTAGCAAGCTTCCCTTATGTGTATTTCTAATTAAGCTCTTCCAAGATACAGAATAATGTTTAAAACAAACATATCCTGTAGAGGATCAAAGTAACCCAAAAAGTGATCAGATATTTTTCTTTGTAAAATTGAATATGGAGATACGCTGCATAAGCAGATTTGAGAAGAACATGGAATCTATAAATAATGATGCTTCCATGTTTTTATTTGAGAACATTGGGAAATCTTTGCTTGCCCTTTACAATATTATTGTGAAGTTTGGTGTCTCTCACACAACAGGTAATGTCATAAGGATGCACTATCATCTTTACCATTCTATATACCAGGCTCTCCTAAACTGTAACATCCTATATACTGTTGTATAGACAAGACACAGTATGACAAATAAGAGCTGCTGTTTCACCTGAGGCATCATCAATTAACTTTGATTTCCAGAAGGGTGAATGGCTCGAAAAAACTTGTGTTAAGACCCTCGCTATAATATATATACTATACCAATTGTGAACCTGTCAAAAGATCATGAAAAAAAGCCCTGAGTTTATGTTTATAGTTTCTTTATGATAATTGGACAAATACAGATTTTTTTTTCCAGGTCTCTTACATCCATAAAACTATCAAGCCAATCTAAAACAGTAAGTGTTTTCCAGATATTTGGTTTACATTAAGAATAAGGCACAATACATTTTTGTATTATAAACCAAATATTATTCTGTAGCCATGATTTATTGGCAGGATGAATTGGCATGATCTCATATGGAGTTTCCTATATTTCATTTACACAATGTTATACATTGTAAACAACTATTTTTATACGTATGCATAGAAAAGCAAACAACTACTGTTGATCTATGGGCTAATGCTTAAAATTCCAGCATAAAGACTTGAAAATAGATTTAGCATCTTTTGCATCAAACATTAATAAGGCTCACTTAGGCGCTCTTAATGTGAGGGAAAATTGGGTTTGTATGAAATGGCTACACTAGGACATTTCATGCTTTTGCAAGTGCAGTAGTGCGATAATTTCCTACAGTATGTCATTATCCTCTGCCCTGTGGTTCTTTTTAAAATTATCTCTTTTCACTCACACTGTCTGCACTATGTTTTTAAGCTATATAGTTTTCAAGCTACATACTTTTCAATCTATGAACAGTATGTATTCAAATTTTGAGCAACTACATCACAAGTCAAGTAACATACCATATTGAGGCATATTCCCTTTGGACACTACTAATAGAACCTCAACTGCAAAAACTTGGAGAGAAAAAATGTCTCACAGACATAAAGCCAGGTCAAGTTTTATTTTTTTCCAACAAAGACAAGAAAATACTATTCTGACCATATCAGGAAGGAATATAAAGGAATTTTCCTATACTTTTCCCATCTGTCCATTTTATCATGACTAATGCTTATTAATTTCTACATACATACACCATACTAAAAGGCAAATTAATTTATCGCACATTTGTCATTGTAGCCAAATCTATCATTTCTTAAAAGAGCAGGAAGGTTATAAGTATTGTGTTTTTAAATATTGGTATGAGATCACCCCTAAAATAATTACATTTATGTAATTCTGGATGCCACTCCACAAGGGAGAAAGTCTCCTCTCAGGTCTACAACTGCTGGTAGTGTCTAGTTTTGAAGAAGAAATAACTCTTACAGATGAAAAAGTGCTTTTTAAAATGCATAAGAAAGATGAACATGAAACATGGATGGCAAAGTAGGATATCTGTTCAGAGGGTCAATATGTAGTTGACAGAATGAGGGTCTGGTTGCAGGCGACAACACACGAGTGTCTAAAATTACTGTACTGACCTTTGTATAGAAAATACAGAATTTGAAAGATAGGGAAATACTATTTAAATACTGCATTTTACATTAACCGTACAAGGTCATAGTCATCTAAGCACAGAGATCCCTCTTCTTCACTCACAAATAGATATTAAGAAAAATAAGACTTGACTTCCCCCCTGACAATCAAAGGAAAAGATTTATTTGGATACTAACATCTGTCTGCAGATTGTGGCCAACTGCTTTTCTGTGCTCATTTAGGACTCCACTTGGAAAGCTTTCCAGTTACATTTACCTAGAGATTGCTCTCTACCACTTCCCAGCTGACAGAAATCACTCAGCTGGGTCTGATGAATAATAGTAAAAGGCAGCTTGTATCAGTGATGATTGAATTACACATTGTTAAAACTGCCATAAAGGCTCATTCCAATGAGTACATTTAATTTACTTACTCTGCTCAGGGCTAGAAGCTTGTAGTTGTTTGAGGTCTTCATTTTAACAGACTTAAAACAAAAAAGAAGCACCATTTTCTGTGAAAAAATTATTAAATATTTGTGCCACTTTTTGACTATACTCCCTAAACTTTTTGTAACATGATAGGTGCCTAAGCCAACACACATTTAACTTTTAAACACAGTTTTGAACCCATATTAGCACCCCCTGTGCCACAATATACAGACTGTAACATATTAGAAAACAAGGCAAAAGAGGAGTATAAAGAGGAGGAAAAGAGAAGGTAGAAAGATGTAATTATATGAAAAATCTAAAGAAAATTAATTTGTCAGCTTTTTCTAAGAAAGGGAAACAGGTGTCATGGTATTTAATTAAGGGTTTGTTTGTTTTTTTAAAACTTCAATACAAAGAGGATTAATTTAGTCCTCTACCACCAGAAAAGCAGATCCTCCAGGGAATAGTGCTTTGAGAACAACACCAGTGTTTCAAACAACAAGTCTTCATAAGAACACTATCTGTCCAAAGATTGCAAGCAAATCTTGGAAACGAATCCTTCTGTATTTTGTTAACTGAGATTGCAAGTTTTTTGATATTGAAACTCTTTTTCAGTGTCAAACAATCATGCAAGAGGGGGTCAAAGAAGAAATGAGAAGTCAGGTGATTGACGCTTAAAACCAACGATTAAATGTATCTATTTCCAGCTGAATAAGTCAAGTGAAAGACAGATCCACTTGGAAGACGAGTAAAGTCAAGCTGCTTTTCCTCTCCCACAGCTAGAGCTCGAGGATTTGATTACTCGCTTGTAAGCAGTTTGATTGCTTTAGGTTCAGGGTTTTTTTACCTTCAGTTTCCTTTCGCCTGCAGAATCCCACCCCTCCCATTTCCCCATTTCGTCCCATGCCACCTTCCAGTTGACTGGAAAGCAGCCTTCTCCGAGAAGGGAGAACACTGGGTGGGTGGGGATTGCCAATCCAGAATTCAACCCAGCGTTCAAATCCGGAGACACCGGCCAAACTGTTTTCCAGCATCTGTTAACAGGAACATGTGCGCGCTCATCACCGCCCACACAATAGACCACCTGGGTCTCCCTCTCTCTTTCTCTGTGCATCTCTTCTCCCCCCCCCCCCGTAACCACAAAATCCAAGTCACTGCAAGACAGCAAACATTGCAGACAGATCCAGCAGAAGCTCTAACACCACTGCCTTACCTGGCAACCAGGGCAGGAGGAGTCGGTTTGTCCTTCAGTGCTCTCGCCTCCTTGTCTAGTAGGAGCCACACACGCTCTCTCTGCCTCTCATGGGAGGAGACGGCAATACAAAAAGGTGTGTGTGTGTGGCAGCCTTCCCACATCCACCGGCAGGTTTGTATGGCCCCCTGCTCTCAGTGGGGCTCGCTTTGTGTTGGGTGTCAAGTTTCAGCTGCTGCTGCTGGCTGGGCGGAGGAGGAGGAGAGACACTGGGGGCTGTGCAGCTTGCCGAGCATCACCACACTGCAGCTTCTCCAGGAATCCCTCCAGTGAGAGGCAGCCCATCCTCCCGCAGCCCGGGCTGCCTGATTGGCCGAGAGGCGGGGGGGGGCTCTGCCGGCGCTATCCAATCAGGCTGCGCCAATAATAGGCGGACCCGCTCAGCCGGCATCGCCCATCCCGGAGATCTGTTAGTCTCTGTCCCCCCCAGCGGGCAAGGGGCCGGGAGGGAGTTCCCTGCGAATGACAATCAAGGACATCGAACCCGTGCTCTGGGCCGGCGAAGTGAGGACCCCCAAGCAGTGCCGCAAGCCGCGCGCTGGACAGAGAGACGGCCGGGTGACCTGAGTCGCCCCCCCCCCCCCCCCGGGACTTCAGGCAATTCATCGTATGGCATTGACCCACCACAAAGAGAGGCGCAGTAAGGGAGAAGCAGGAGATGGGGGATGGGGCACAGAGGTGATGCTGAATCAGAAACCGAGCCCAGGAGGCGGCGGCGGGGGCTGCTTTCCAGCAGCCAACTGAGCTGGTGAACTTGTTCATTTCTCTGGCCCCTTTTTAATACTTTTTTTTTTTTTTAATTGCCTTCTGGGTGGGCGCTTTCCAACCCGACAGCGGTGAGGAGTTCCTGTGCAGTAACATCTAATCAATGGTTGCAAATAAAATTCGCCATAATTGAGTTCTTTTGCTTTTTACAGAGCAGATTTTATTGGCGTTTTCAGGTGAGGAAAAATAACAGTCAACTTAATTCCCCAGCTCCGTCCACTCTGAACTGGAGCTTTGATTAACATTGGTCTGCAAAATGTAACTGTACCACAAATTCAATTAACAGAAGCACATTTCTTTAACTTTTAATTAGACCTGTCCTCTGTCTAATGTTTAATAGAACATAAAGTGCTACTCAGAGGTTCCAAAGGGAAATGGAGGCAGTTCTAGATGTAAATTTAGCTGTTCAAAATATAAATAATGGATATAAAAGGAATAAGGTTCTTTCCTGCCTAAATTACATTATTACTGCATGTAAATCACAGGGTGTCAAAGTTTCTCAGAATTGCCAAATGGAAAATGTTAAATTCTATAAATAATAATGTCAGGTTAATCTTTCCCTTTCATTGGTCAAAGGTACCACTCCAAGTGCAAAGGTGAATCCTAATCTACACTTTATACACCACAGTTTGGCCAGTAGAGACTAACAGGATTACAATTATTATATAAAAGCCTTAATAAATGGCAATATAGTCCATAACTATGTGCCTGTTTTTATTTAGCATGCTTAATGAAAGATGTATTAACGTATAAGGTGTAGATTATGGTATCTAGCTTTGGGGGAAGGGGAAAGGAGGGGTCACACACTAGCGGTAGTGGACGAGGGCATGACAACTCTGGAAGTCATTCTTCCCCAGCTGCCTTTGGAAGTACAGTGAGCAGTTGAGTCTTAGTACACCTTCAGGAAAAAAAAAGTATAATCTGCTTTTCCATACCCAACACTTCCCTAGTGGTGTTTTCCAGGGGAAAGCTATGACACTGCCCCTGTTCAGTTTAAATACACACCCTTTGGTCCTATCAGTCCTAGACAACTCCCCTTTGTACTCCCCAGTTCTAGCAGCCAAAGTGTGACTGCTTCTTGTAGAGGTGTGTTAGGCCATGATGGTGGGAAGGGGGGAGGAAGGGTAAAGGAAGGGGCTATTTGCACCCATCTAATGCATCATAGAGGAACCACTATAATTTAGCCCAAGAGGTCTAGCTATGCTCTTGGGGAAATGTGGTAATTGACAGATTTCAGACCCAAAATCACACACCAACTTCCAGTGTGTCCATAAAAACTGCTGTTCTGTCCCCAGATCCAAAGACCCCAACAACTGCTTTCTATATGTCATTTATTTGGTGAGCTAAAAGAAAGCTATCTCAGTGCCAATAATTTTACAGACCCAATACTGCATCCCTGGCACACCCACACATGCACAATGAAGTCAATGGGAGTTTTGTGTGCACAAGGAATGCAGCATCAGGTCCTACATGGCTGAGCAGTGTTTTGTTTATATAATTTAAGCCCAATGCACCCCTCCCATAATGCAGGAAGAAAGGAACAGAAGTTAACACATCTGGAGAAGGCAGCACGAGAGCTGTATAGCTCCCCTTCCCTATCTTAGAGGCACTCCACAGGAAGTCTGCCTGGTTTAAGGCAATGACATATTTGGTAGGGGCTGGGTGTGTGTATGTGATGGTGAGGGGAATTTGGATCATGCTCTCCTTCTAGGCCAGTCGAAAGAGCCTATGACTTTTTTACATTATACAAACAAAACATTATTTAGCCTATGGGGTGATGCCTCCCTTACTGTAAGCAAACTTCACTCCCCTACTGAATATCTACCCACCGCCTCTCAGGGGAAGAAGGGTGAGTGTCTAGCCATAAACGGCGCAACCAATTGCAACAAAATTCCAAAGGAATTCTTACAGTCATGAGAAAAGTCAAGTCTTGCAACAATCCTGGAGCGTAAAAATCATGGACAGGATGTGGGCAATAAACAATAAATCACGGGAACCCAGTCGTCGCAGTGTGGGGCTGACAGACCAAGTCCTTGCCACCCAGGGCTGACAGCCAGAGCCCCTGCCATCCAGGGCTCAAGTTGCGGTGGTCACATAAAAGCAGAGTCCATGACCAACTCGTAGCCTTACTCAGGATCCATGGAGGAATGTCCAGTCTGACCAAAAGGGCTAGTTAGTCCTTCCCACTGCATTCATGAAGCACAATGATCTGCATTGTGGTTACCTCCTGAATAAATGCACCCAGGCAGGGCCAACAAGACTTCTAAAACATTAGATTAACTTTTCATTTTTTAAAAGGACATTAAGCGGGGCCCAACCATGCAGTTATTACATGGGAGATCCTGCCTCAATAGGCTGCAGGACCAGACCCATATTTAACCTTGTATCTCTTGGTCATAGTCTATTCTAAATGCTCTCTCAGCAATGAGAACTGCCACAGTACAGAGGCTTTGGAATGGAAGGAGCTACAATGGGCATCAGAGAAGAAGCTGAAAATCATGGCCTGTCTCAAAAATTAAATAAGAATAGGAGACAATCACAGTATTTTTTCTTTCTCATTTTTATGCTTCTGTTCTCTGTAAGTTATGACCGGGAAGAAGAGGGGGGAAAGGAAAGTAAATATGGACCATAGAGGTCCACCATAAAATGGTGGTGGAGAGACAGAAAAAGGGAGACCAACCAGTTCCACAAAATAGGAAAGAGCCTAAGAGTGCTGGGAGCAAATGAAACCAAAAACACATGCTCAGGCCATGACATGAATAAAGCTCTTACAAGTTTTACAGCATATAAAGAGATGATACAGGAATGACACGTCATTGAGCTGATTCAAGAATAACAGAATTTGTAATACATCAGCCCACAGCACTCTGAAACCAGCCATTGGGGCCCTGCCTCTGGGCCTATATTACCACAGGATTCCCTTTCTAAGTCAGCCCCTCTGTGACTCAGGCCCAGTCTACACTACAGAGTTAGGTCGATACAAGGCAGCTTATGTCAACCTAACTGTGTAAGCATTTACATTACAATGTTCCTCCCACCGATTTAACTTGCCTGCTGACCTAAAAACTCCACCTCCACAAGAGGAGTAGCACTTAGTTCAATGTAGTTAGGTCGATGCAGTGTCAGCATAGACACTGAGTTACTTATGTCAACTTTAGTGGCATCCAGGAGGTGTCCCACAATGCCCCACCATGACTGCTCTGACCACGGTTTTGAACTCCACTGCCTGGAGGCCAGGTACACAGGAACACGTCCCTCCTCTTTTAAAGCCCTGCCAATTTTAAATTCCATTTCTTGTTTGTTTGGCATGAAGAGTTCACATAGCAACCACCCAGCTGACCATGCTGGCTCCATGCAGCAAATGTGCTCCTCCCTGGAGTCCACAGGAGGTGGTGGATCTCCTGGCCTTGTGGGGAGAGGAGGCTGTGCAGTCACAGCTCCAATACAGCCATAAAAAGGTCAACATCTATGGCCAGATTACTTGGGACATGGGGGAGAAGGGCTACAACAAGGACATACAACAGTGCCGCTTGAAAATCAAGGCGCTGCAGCAGGCATACCAGAAGGCAAGGGAGGCAAACAGTTGCTCTGGTGTGCAGCCGCAGACATGCCACTGCTATAAGGAGCAGCATGCCATGCTCTGCGGTGACCCCACCCCCAAGGGCCCCATGGATACTTCATGGGAGCTGGAGTCATAGGCCATCAGAATTAACTTTGAGGACTAGGTGTTGGATGAGGAAGAGGAGGAGGAGCAGGATGGGGGACAGTTGATCAGGGGATCCTGTGGAATGGCAAGCCAGGACCTCTTTTTGACTCCTGAGTGAGCCATCCCCAGCAGTCCAGCACTGGCAAGCCTGATGTGGGGGAGGGAACCTCTGGTAAGTATGCAGTTTGCTTCAATATTGCAGGGACTCAGATGTTCAGTTACTTTTTTTAAAAAAATCAGGCTAGAAGAGGTAGTGAACTAGCCAATACAGATATAATATATATATATATATATATATATATATATATATATTTTCTACCTGCTTATTCCCGCATATGGCTAGGCAAAGGGGGCCCTGCAGAACAGTTTGTTTATGTGCACTGGGACGTCCAGTGAATCCTTCATAGAGATCTAGAGAAAACTTTCCTGAAAGTAGCCTGTAATCCTCTGCTGAAGGTTTCTGTGGAGGGCTGCCTTATTTCTTCCAACACAGTAGGATACTTTCCCATGCCAGTCAGCAATTACTTCAGCAGGCACCATTGCAGCACACAGGCTAGCAGCCTGTGGACCTGGTCTGCAGCCGGACCCATGCAGGAGCTGTTCTGTTTCAGCCTCCATTAGCCTCAGGAGTGAGATATCAGCTAAAATCACTACCACTGTAGAAACAGTGCCAGCATTCAGTTCAAGTGCCCTGTCCACATATACTGATGCCCATGGGCTACGCCCGACATTGTCCCAACTCACCCCCTTCTGCCCCTGGGCTGTACTCACCATGGGTGGGACTGCCACTGTGCTTTATGAATCCCA